AAACATTATCTCATCACTATATAAAAGCACATCACAACAGGACGGATGGTTTACTTTAATTTATCACATCAAACAATAGGTTACCACAACAAAACCATAGCTTACCACATCTTACCATATGGTAATAAGTAAAACACACCAGCTTACCACATCTTACCATATGGTAATAAGTAAAATAGAACAGGAGTTATGGTTTAATCCATTCTTTAACAACAAACCTTAGCTTACCACATCATACCATATGGTATTAAACTAAAACAAAACAGGACTTGTGCATTACTACATTTTGTAACATTAAACCATAGATTTATCTCATTTTACCATATCTTACCATATTTTACCATATGGTAACAAACTAGATCACTACAGTAAAATCATATAACAGTAGAAGTTTTAAGATGATGACTTACCTCTTGACAAATTTCTTGTTTTTGCATCTTATGTACTCCAGGATGTTGCTGAACATATCATCAGGTGTTGTTTGTGTTGGTGTTGACCATTCAACTGGTGATTTTTGTGACTGTGGAGCAACTGGTTCGACAACTGGAGAATTCAGGTCCTCTAGGTAAGCATCTATGCATTCACGGACTTCCTTGAGCTTCTCTTGGCTGTTTGTGTACAGATTTGACCATATAGCATATGACTCCGTCTGTGACTGGGTGCTTTGTGGCTGTGCTGGTGGTGGTGTTGCTCTTGCCTTCTTTTCATTTTCGTGCACATTCTTCACCACGATTCTTCTTTTGCGAGGCTCTCCTGGTTGATCGGTTGCCGTGTTGGTGGTCAACTTCGTTGGTGTTTGACGGTTGAGAGGGCTGAGATCAAAGGATGGAATGTCGTCTTCCCTTGTCACTTTAGGCTTCTCAGCAGCTTCGGTTGTCAGTTTTGGAGCCTCTTCTCGAACAACATCATCTGACACCGTTTTCTCGCTGTCAGTTTCTGCAGTCTTTTGCGCAGCTTGCCCTGTATTCCCTTCTTCTGTTGTTTCCTTATCAACTTCCATTGGATCTGCTGGTTTGGTAGCTCCTTTTTCTCCTGTTTCTTTTGCAGATGTCTGTTCTGGAACTACTTTCGGGGTGTCCTCTTGTTGTGGTGTTCCCTGATTCAGACCTTCTTGAACAGATTGTTCTGGTGGTTCTGTTGCAACTTCCCCCAGTGGACCTCCTTCTTTTGGGATGCTTTCCCTATTCACAGCTTCTGGAGCAGAATCATCTTGCTCCTTTTCTTTTGCCTTCGGTGTAGATGCAGCAAGATCGACTGTAGATGGTTGTGAATCATCTTCTTTCTGTGTTTGCTCCTCGTTCTCCTCTTTGTTCTGGTCTATCTTTGTCTGTTTGAATATTTCATTGAGTGTTTTATTCAAACTGGCATTGATTTCTTCATCATTCTCTTCTTCATCATCTTCACACTGAAATTTTTCTCCTTGTGTTGGCTGAACATTTTCATCACAGCTTTCTTTCGCAAGATTCTCCTTGTGTCTGATCAGATTGTCAATTTGGCTTTTGTACTGGTCTTTGATTGCTTTCATCATTGCCTTCATTGATGTTTCAAGCAGTTTGATTGCATTCTCAGCCTGCATAATGGGAGTTTTTGTAAGATACCATGGTGGTAATGTGTGTATGGTGTATGGTTAGTTACCATGGTGGTAATACATGGTATTGGCAATTATTATCACTATTCTGCATTTTTATAACATGAAACTATATCTTACCACACCTTACCATATGGTAACAAAGTAAAACAGAACAAGAATTATGGTTTCCTCCATTTTTATAACATGAAACCATTGCTTACCACACATTACCATATGGTAACGTAGTAAAACACAACAGGACTTATATTTTCCTCCATTTTTATAACATGAAACCATAGCTTACCACACCTTACCATATGGTAACAAACTAAAACACAGCAGGACTTGTTGTTTTTTGCTATTTTTAAAACATGAAAGCATAGCTTACCACACATTACCATATGGTAACAAAGTAAAACAGAACAAGAATTATGGTTTCCTCCATTTTTATAACATGAAACCATTGCTTACCACACATTACCATATGGTAACGAAGTAAACCACAACAGGACTTATGTTTTGCTCCATTTTTATAACATGAAACCATAGCTTACCACACCTTACCATATGGTAACAAACTAAAACACAGAAGGACTTACGCTTAGCATGAATTGGACAACTGTAATATAGATAATTTGTACTTACTTGGTTGACTGTTCTGATATTCTTCAAATCAAAGTTCAGTGATGATGACTGCTCTGGACTTTTGTTTCTTTGTCTTTTCGGTGATTCATAGACTGGCTCATTCTCCTCTTCCTCATCAGCTGCATCATCAGCCTCATCGTCACTAATGTTGGCAACCTTTTCGATCTCGTTCAACTCTTTTCCATTGTAGTAGCTCTTAATGTTCTCAAAGTTGCTATCAACATTGTTATCATCATAGTAGCTTACTGTTGGTGTTCGAAGCTGGGTTGAGAATGCCATTTCGTCCAGTTTGTACATGAAGCATACCTTTTTATGCAGATAGTTGTATCAGTTTTTTCAAAGAGTATCATTTATATATAGAATATATGAGTAACAAGGTTGAAATGGCCAAGGGAATGGAGACTTACTGTAAGGAAGTGAAGATCTGCACTGACGTAGAGCTTTGGTGATTGCAATCCTTCATTCATGTGGTTGAAGAAGTATTTGCACCAGTTGTAGCTGGTGAAATGTTTCAGTTCATCAGTCTTCAAGTACTCAAGCATGTTGATTTCAGCCATAGGGGCTGAAGTTGGGCACAGCAAGCCTCCGGTGACCAGCAGAAAGAACAATTGTAACCATCTCTTACTGTTTGTAGTTGTAGGAAGATCTTTTTCTACCTGACTTAGCTTTACCCTTGGAGTGGATGTTCCATCTACTTCCAGTAGGGTTTCTATTGCATAATCTGCTGCGTCGTCCCAAAAATTGTGGGAGGTACAACTTCCCTTTTCCCCATTGGCAGACCATATACCCTATGAAAGTCGATTGGTGATATCTTCATGCGTGTCCCGTCAGGTAGCTTGAACGATTGTTTGATTGGATTGTATTTGTTCATTACGAACAGTGCAAAATGGTTGTTTATCGTTGTCTGCTTGATTGATAATAAGCCTGCTAGGCCTAATATCTCAAGTTTCTGTTTCTGCTCATCTTTTATAGTCCTCGCAATTGCAGATATTCTTGTTGGGCTGCACCTTGTGCGAAAACTTTTTCTTTGGTTTACCATAGTGTACCTGAATGTAGAAATTAGGAATAGTCTGTTAACGTGCTTTTTACCATAATATACCATATGGTACCATAATGGTTTCCTAGCATACCAAATCAAACCATATATGTATCTCATTTTACCATATGGTAATTACATCAAACCATGTCTTATAACATATTACCATATGGTAACGAAGTAAAACACAACAGGACGTATGTTTTCCTCCATTTTTATAGCATGAAACAATAGCTTACCACACATTACCATATGGTAATAAACTAAAACACAGCAGGACTTATGGTTTTTTTGCTATTTTACAACATGAAACCATAGCTTACCACACATTACCATATGGTAACGAAGGAAAACACAGCAGGACTTATGGTTTTTTGCTTTTTTACAACATGAAACCATAGCTTACCACACATTACCATATGGTAACAAACTAAAACACAGCAGGACTTATGGTTTTTTGCTTTTTTACAACATGCAATCATAATTTACCACACATTACCATATGGTAACAAACTAAAACACAGCAGGACTTATGGTTTTTTGCTATTTTACAACATGCAATTATAACTTACCACACATTACCATATGGTAAAGAAGGAAAACACAGCAGGACTTATGGTTTTTTGCTATTTTACAACATGCAATCATAATTTACCACACATTACCATATGATAACAAACTAAAACACAGTAGGACTTATGGTTTTTTGCTATTTTACAACATGCATTCATAGCTTACCACACATTACCATATGGTAACGAAGCAAAACACAGCAGGACTTATGTTTTTTTGCTATTTTACAACATGCAATCATAGCTTACCACACATTACCATATGGTAACGAAGCAAAACACAACAGATTCTACATCAGTTCAGCAACGCATGGTAACAATTCGGTAATTTAGCGAGTTTACTACAATTTTCACATGAAGAGTGACTGAGATACTGTTTCTATTGTTCTGTGGATGGATTTCGAAGAAAGAAATTAGGTTTTACCTTGATATTTTGTGCGAAAACGATTTTTGAGCCTCGTTGAAGTTGGAAACCCTTCGTTTTTCGACGAAGAAGCGAGAACAGTGTATCGTTGAATGATTCTTCGAAAGCCTTTGCGAAAATCCTTCGATTTTTGAAGTTTCTTCTGTGTTTTCTGAAGATTTTGGTGCGCGATTGGATGAAGAATGGAGAGTTAGAGAGCAGAGGGAAGTGGAACTGTCGCGTGAAAGGTGAGAGAAAGAAGGAGAGAAGGCGGGACGATTGTCGTTGTCACGTCTTGTTTTCAAATTGTCAGATCGAAGATTACTATTTTGCCCCCCGTGTAGTTACTTTTGCATGATCTGACGGTTGAGAAGATGACGGAATGGACGGTGGATAGGGCGGTTACTGATGGTTACTGAGGTATTGGTTACGGAGATCCGCTCCCCCAGGGCCCAAGACTACGCGAGATGTAAAAAGCAGATAATCCAGGTCGGCTGAACTGAACAAGGAAAGTGGGCTGGGCCAGCTCAAAGAACTAAATTTGGAACCAATATTCGTAATTAAAATTAAAAAAATTAAGAGTTGATTTCCAGCCTCCACGTGTGTTCCACCCATCAGCTGATGTTAGATGGTGGGCCCCGCACAGCAGACTTGTGTCGCTTCACTTCCCGCCATTATTATAATATAGATTCGGTCGCCATCCCCCGTGCATGTCACGTGACTCTCATTATCCAGTCTTCACTGATCAGTGATCACCACCTTTGAACTTTGCAGTGATCGTGGGAAAATACGAGAATAAAACTGAAAATTATATTCGCTGGCGGCGCCTTCTCCTGTCTGGCTGTCTCCCTCTGATCTGATCCAATGCGGGCGGCTACCGTACTCTCGCATCCACTTCCTCTCCCGGCGATCGCCGCCTGGAAGCACCTTCGCAACCAAACACGTTCCAGCATTCAATTCTCATTTCCGCCGCTGCGGCCGGCGTTCAGAGTTTCTCCATTGAAGTACCGAGAGATTCAGAAGCGAGGTTTGCGAGTGACTGATGGCCTCGAGCCGAAAATTGCAGAAAGCAGCGAGGAGGATCCGACGGAGAGAAAGATTGGTGGGAGTTCGAATTCGGATCCAGGATGGATTCGTGCTTTCCCTCATGTGCTTACAGCTTCCATGTCCAATTTCCTGTTTGGCTATCACATTGGGTAAAATGACATCGCCTTTCTTTCTCCCCCCTTTTTCCTCTGCTCGTGAATTGGCATGGAGAAAGCGTTATTGTGGCAGCTGTTGGAGTTTATAGGCGGTGTCTTTAGGTGTGAGATAAGTTGCTGCTGAGAGGATTTTTCATTTTTCGGATTTTGCAAATTGTGATTATTAGGGCACAAGTATGTTGAATTCATAGCTGTTGTAGCTGCTGAGGAGGCATTCCTGATGGCAGATTTGTTTGATTTACTGCTTCAGTTCACTAGTTATCTACTTCAGTAGTTTGGATTTTGGTTTTGGGTTATGGGGCAAGACTTTGAACCTGTGATTGAATGTGTTGCAGGGTGATGAATGGACCTATAGTTTCTGTTGCGAGGGAGCTGGGTTTTGAAGGCAGTCCGATACTCGAGGGACTTGTGGTGAGCATATTCATCGCTGGTGCATTTTTCGGAAGCATTGGCTGCGGCTCGCTGGCTGATAAACTTGGATGCAGGCGGACATTTCAGATTGCTACTGTTCCATTGATTCTTGGTGCAATCATAAGGTAATTGACTTTGCAATTAGTTTGAATAGCACAGGCTTCCCATTGTTGAAATTAAGTAGTCATCATGTTCATTGTTTCCTTCGTAGTTTATGGTTACGTGTTTGATACTTTCACTTTCTGCTATGTGGACAGTGCACAAGCGCACTCGTTGGAAGAAATACTTGGTGGACGATTTCTGGTTGGCCTTGGGATTGGTGTGAACACAGTTCTGGTTCCGATCTATATATCAGAGGTACTACTCCCCTTCTGGTGAAAGCTTTTTTCCCTTTTCGAGATCCATTCTTTTGCTTATGCTGGGAATACATGTTAGATTGCTAAGAGAGCTGTGCAATGGGAGAAGGAGAAAGTAATTGTGTTAATGACATGAAGCAACTTCCAAGTTCTTCCATCTTATATCTTCAAAATTTATAGGTTGCTCCTACAAAATACAGAGGCTCCCTGGGAACTTTCTCTCAGATTGGGACTTGCCTCGGTATCATTGCATCTTTGTTACTTGGAATTCCTTCAGAAACTGATCCCCACTGGTGATTTATCTATTCCACTGATGATATTTGATGTTCTTCTCCCTATGTTATATCTTAAACTGCTTACATTCATCTTCAGGTGGAGGACGATGCTATATCTTGCTAGTCTTCCTGGAGTGGTCCTTACACTAGGCATGCAGTTTGCAGTAGATAGCCCCCGCTGGCTGTATAAAGTAGTTCTTTTTTTTTTATCCTTTTTCCTCTTCATCTTCGTTATGCTCTTTATTCCATAATTTGTTCGTATTAGATTCTTGCATGTCATTATTCTGAAGTTTTTATATTGGCTGAAATAGGTGGGAAGAATAGAAGATGCAAAATCAGTTATCTATAATCTTTGGGGGCCAAGTGAAGTTGAAAAGGCAATAGAAGAAATTCAGGCAGTAGTTAAGAGTGATGGCAATGATAGAGGTGGTACATGGTTGGAACTGCTGGAGCAACCACACTCTCGAGGTTGTATAAAGGTTGTTCTTAGATATCTTTGTTTCAAGTATGACTAACCCAAGTACAGGATAATTGAATGTTCACGACTGATATAAACTCTTTGAGCAACTCAAACTTAATAGAAGACTCATGCCATGAATGATATATCTCTCTTTTCTGCAGTTGCATTTGTTGGAGGTTCGCTTTTCTTATTGCAACAGTTTGCCGGCATAAATGGAGTTCTTTACTTTTCATCCTTAACATTCAAGGATGTGGGTATAACAAGCAGCGTGTTGCCAAGCATATTCATTGGAATCATCAATTTTGCAGGTTTGAAACGCTTCTGATCTGATACCCGATAATTTAAACCTTTGGTTTCCTTTCTCGCTTTTCTCAACTATCCTGTTTCTTCGTCAAGGTGCACTATCTGCTCTATACTTGATTGACAAGGAAGGAAGAAAGAAGCTATTAATTGGTAGTTACTTGGGGATGGTAAGTTATTTGTACAGAGTCCCAACACCTGAGTTATCAATGTTTGGCATATCACTCTACATCACAGACCTTCATTTCCATGCAGGCACTTTCAATGTTTCTCGTAGTAGTTGCTATAAGCTTGCCACTCAAAGAACAACTTAGCCACATCACATCTATACTGGGAACTCTGCTGTGAGAAATAGTTTCCTTTGTTTGTCCTTTTTATGTGATTTATCTTGCATCTTCTTCATGCTGCACCCCGTCTCTTTTCTTTTGACTTCATTCAGGTACATATACACCTTTGCCATCGGGGCTGGTCCAGTTACTGGCATGATCATACCAGAACTCAGCAGCTCCAGGACTCGCGGCAAGATCATGGGATTTAGTCTTTCCGTTCACTGGGTAATAATGTTGCTTTAAGAAGTTGGATTAAAAGGCAGAAGACGAGTTTAGTTTCAGCTCTTTTTTAATCTTCATTTTCTTAAGTAACTTTTTTTAGGTTGAAACAAACACATCGCATTATTGCTCTGTTCCTAGAAAGAACAAGAGACAGAGTAACAACTAACAAGTAGTCAATTCGGCCTTTCGTGTTTCAGGTCTGCAACTTCTTGGTCGGTCTATTCTTTCTCGACATGGTAGAGATCTACGGAGTTGCCCCTGTTTATGCTGCATTTGGCAGCATGTCGTTGTTATCGGCGATATTTGCTCACTACTTCACCGTTGAAACTAAAGGCCGGTCACTGGAGGAGATTGAGATGTCATTGAAATGAGCCTGTTTAGATTCTGGTAGAACCAATTTGTATCATAACTTCTTATGTTTGATGTTGAAAGACTGAATGCTTTTCAATTTTAATCTAGGACTCAGTTGCTTGCTTCATTTGGAAACTGAAGCGATGTATTGTATATAATCACACTTTATCTTGGAGTCTTGAAGGTAGGGGTGTTCAAACTTCAAACGGATTGGTTACCGTGGTAACCATATTAACCGGTAGTATTTGGTTAATTTGGTTTAGTTAATTTGGATAATTGGTTTGGTTAGGTTAAACAATTTAGTTTATTTGGTTTAGGTGGTTTGGTTTGGTTTCAATACTGCTAATCAATGAAACCAATTAACTAATTACTGATACACCTAATATACAAAATTATTTATACTTTCATGCAACCAACCAAACCAAACTTTCGTGATTCCCTATTTTATTTTCACGTGCATTACAAACCAAAACATTATGGGTAAAAAATTAAATGGCCTGCATATTTACTAAACCAAAACATTTTGGACAACTACTAGACTTTAGGATTACGTACAATACTATGTATAGTTTAAGTATTTTGTAGGAGAGCTTTAACTTCCAGATGATGGTATATGTATGTATTTATGTTAAGGTTTTGTTGTAAGCTAATTATATTATGTGCAGAGATGATGAATGATGTATTAACTCGAATGGTGATGATAATCATGGATGATTAGTCTTATTATTATTATATAATGATAGTTTATGATAGTAACAACATATTGTTATGTTTTATTCATTTACAGGATAATTGTTTTCATGTAATGTTATGTTATTTGGTTAATCCGATTATCCGATTAACCAAACCAATTAAACTTTGGTTTTGTTAATTTGGTTTTCGTGTTTATTTGGACGGTTTGGTTAAAACATTTTATTTCATGGTTAATAAAATTTAGACTTAATTGATTTGATTATTACCACGGTAACAATTTGAACACTCCTATCTGTTTGGCAACAAGGGGGGTGCAAATTGCAGGAGGGTGCAAGTTGAGGGGCAAATTGCTGGGGGGGTGCAAATTGCTGGGGGATGTAAGTGGAGGGGTAAATTGTTGTTTGGATGAAAAAGTAGGGGGTGTAAATAAAGTGCAAAGTAAGTAATTATATTATTTTAAAATAGATTTTAAAATTATAAAATAGATTTTAAAATTATAAAATAGATTTTAAAATTATAAATATTATCATAAAATAATAAAATAAATATTACTATATAATAATAAATATACTTTACTAAAAATAGTTATTATATAATAATGCTCAAATAATAATTAATTATAACAATTGTAATAATCATTGATCGAGCGATCTCAAAAATCGAAGCTCAACTCCTAACTGGTCATCCTATATAGGGTTTTCGTGTCTAGTTTAATCTTAAATTGTCAAACTTAGTCAAACACGTTCGAATTTGTAAGTTTTAACTATTTAGTCAAACAAAATGAGTTAACCAAACAATTTCTCTCTATCTTTTCCACAAACACCTTGTATATCTAATTTTCAATGCAAATTCGATTCAACCAAGAGATCTAGATTTGACAAACATTTATAAACTTGTTTCTAGAGTCAAATGGTCAACCCCGAATAATGTTTACATTAATGATATTTATAAAAAGAAGAAATTGATAATATTAATTATTATATAATTATATACAACACAATTAGAAAAACAAAATTCCATAATTCCCCCCTCCCCCTCTCTTCCTTCCTTCCTTTGCACCCCAATTCGGGGGGTAAGCCGAAACAGTAAATTTGCACTCTCGTTTTGCACCCCCCTACTGTTCCAAATTAACCAAACAGGTGCAAATGTGTTGGAAACTGTGTTTACCCCTCACATTTGCACCCTCCTCCCATTTACCCCTCTTCCCAAACAGAGTGATACACTCTGTTTGAAGGGGCTAACTAAAAATTTGATAGGACTACCTGAGTCGAATCAGGAAAATACAGGTATCAAATCAGTTAATTAGCCTCTTAAATAGTTCCAATGACTTGTTTATTGATCCACCAACCAGGAACCTCTATTTTTACTCCTCTGGCCGCCGACGACTCCCCAGACGGTAATAAGCCAGTTGGACAACGCCACGTGTAAACCCAACTGACGACGATCGTTCACACGTCACCAAGGTTGTCAACCCGCGGGTTGACCCACGGGTCGACCCAATTTGACCCTGACCCGGTGAGAAAAACGGACCGCACGCACCCGCCGGGCCGACCGCTATAAGGTACCGGGTTGGAGGTCAAATTGTGTCATTTTTTTCTTTAGTTTGCGAAATGTGCCTATTTTCCAATTTTTCTTTTCGCCTAACTCAATCTTTGGAATACTAAGTTGAACATTTGAATATTTATGTTATATAAGTGTGTGAATTTTCACTATATGTTGGATCTAAGTACGATATGTTATTTTGGTGTAATATTATATGTTATAACTCATATGTTAGATAAGATTTGATATAATTTATGAGGATAAGTACAATATAATAACTCTTTCTATATTTCCGGGCCAAACCGGGCTAAAACGGTTGACCCATTAACCCGTGACCCACTAGATCGACTGGGTCCGGATCAACCCGCGGGTTGACAACCTTGCACGTCACATTCATCTCGTTCCTCAATTCAGCCTGCCACAAAATCAAACGCCAAACCATTCCTCTGCCTTCTAATTCTCCTCCTCCTCCATCCTCCGCCGCCGGTTTCGCCATTGATGTAGCCTCGATCGAGTCGCCTCTTACAGCACTCTAGTTCGTCTCTCTCTGCAGTCCGGAAATTTGTCGTAAACATCTCCCTTACTTCCTTGCCAGCGGGGGACATGGCGGCCTCATCGGAGATCAGCGATGGGGACAACGCGGTGGAGCTAATCGTCTGCGATGTCCCGGCATTCTCTTCTGCCGGCTCTAATGGTGACGCAGCTAACGATGCTGCCGACTCCTTGTCGGATGAAATTGCTCCTCTGTTGAAGCAGCCGGCGGAGAAACCCAAGATCAATATCTTCTCCGTCTCTTACTCCCGCCGAAAAGCTAGGGTAACTAAATCCAGTCATCCTGGCAAATCATGAATTTGTAGTGTCCGCGACTTAGTGAATTGGTGATGATGTTCTTCGTTCCGGAATCTGGTGGAGAATAGGTTTAGGTTTCTATACTTTTGTTCTCTTGATTTGGTGTCGCTGGTGAGTAGTGCCGCACTCATATTTCTGTTCCATTTGAAGAAATACTGAAATCTGAAGATCTTTGAAGAAAGGTGGGAGGGAAATGAAACAGTGAAAGCCAGAAGTATGTCGGTTGCAAATGGGGGAATGAGTTTATTACTAATTTGCAATTTCTGAAGGGTTCCTTATACTTGGTAAAATGGAAGAACAGGGAACCAATTTTGGAGTAGTTTGTGTGTGATTAATGGTTTTCCTTTCTGGTCATTTTGCAGGATCATGTTATCAAAGTACCTGAATCCGAGGCTCAAGTATCACAACTGATTTTGTGGCTGTGGGGTGGATCCAGATACTCGGGTATGCTGTGCGTGGCTTTATCGTCGTCCATCTACTTTTCTATGGAGGTTGTTTCTGATGTCTTTGCTGGTAAGTAAAAGGATTGTTTTCCTGTTATGGCTGAGTTTCTTTTTTTTTTTGTCTTGTGTTGCTGGTATGGCAGTCCAGACAACTTCCAGCAACAATACTTGAAAACTTTTGAACCATTGGATAAGTAGTGCATCATTTAGTGTGTGTTGCTATGGTTTCTCTCTTTAGTGGAAACTATGCAATACTGCAAACTGCAAAGTCATCATCAGACAAAAAAAAAAAAAAAAAACATTGGTATGAATTCCAGAAACTCGTGCATCGTTACCTAGAATATCGGTGGTTGTAGGAACGTGTACTACTATTTCATCTGCACCAGCATTATGAGAGCCTGAGGCTTTTCCCTAGGTGTTTCTAGTTGCGTTATGCTATTGCAATTTCGCTTAGCGTCTGGTTCGCTAATTTAATGGCAGCCCAGTCGATTCCTTTATTCGAGACTGCATTTGCAAGGTGTACAATACTCTTGGTCTTGTCATTTTTGTGGTTGAGGAGAACTGGACAACCTATATTTGGACCACCACATGCCAGGAAACTCTTGATTTTAAGAGCCCTGATGGGGTATTTGTCACTATTGAGCTTTATCTACTGGTGAGTTTCACCTTCCTGCGGTTACTGCTTAGTTCATATAAACATTTATAGTGGTTATCCTTTCTCGTGGTTGTTTATGACTGAACATTAGCAACTTTTCTCTTCTCAGTGTTCAACGATTGCCTCTACCACAAGCTATCGTGTTAAGTTTCACAACTCCCATAATGGCTTCCATTGCAGCAAGAATTGCATTTCTTGAGAAGTTGAAAATTGCTGACATTGCAGGTCTGCCAGCATTTCTCCCTAACTTCTTGCTTTGTTTGGAGTGTGAAAATGTTCAGTGATTTCCTTACCGACGTTCTTTTCCCAGGTCTTGCTTGCAACTTCTTTGGAGTGCTCTTTATTTTCAGACAGAGCTTCACTGCACAAGGTAGAGATGTGAGTTAACAAACCTCCTGTAGCGTGCTGATAATACCTTCCCACAAAACATCCTAGGAACATAAGAACCTATAGTATGGTTTCTTTTTTAAGTGCTTACGAGTTACGACAAGGGAAGCTGACTCTCACACATACCATACCATTGTTTTTCCTAGGTCTAGCAGGTGAGCTAGTTAAAGCCGGTTCAGCTAGCGCTGCCAACTTGAAGGGAATGCATTATGTATATGCAATATTAGCTGGTCTATTTTCATCTGTTACTGGTGGAATCAGCTACTGCCTCATAAAAGCAGGATCGAAGGCCTGTGATCAGCCAGTGTAAGGCTTCACTTTTCAGCATCTAAATTAGCTTCAATCAGTTGCCCTTTCATGTTCACATAGCTTAGAGAGATTTGAACTCTATGCTTCCTGCTTTTTCCAGGACCACCGTGTTTTCATTTGGAATTCTGGCCTCCCCTGCTGCCCTAGTCTGTATGTTCATTTTCGAGGTAAGATCTAATACGCTGGCATTTGTCTCCCAAATATCTGTGGAGCCTGTGTTGTACCTAAATCACTCGACTCTCTTGCATCAGGAATTTGTGTTGCCAGAGCTGCGTTCCCTCTTCCTTATGCTTCTTCTTGGCGGTCTCGCCTTCTTAGCTGAGGTACTTATTTCCCCTTGAAAGACTTGTGTAAAACACGGACTCTCTTTTCGTTTTTCCATTACGGGTTCCTGAAGACCTTGAACCTGCGCTCTTGGGGCCTTACGCTTCCTCTGTTATAACTTTTAGGTGTTCTTGGCCCGCGGCCTACAGCTCGAGCAAACAAGCAAAGCTGCAAACTTTCAATACGTTGAGGTACTCCTTTCACCATCTCTCTCTCATACGGTCTCCTTTACAAACCTTACTAAAATCCTCTTGCCGCTGTGCCCTTTCTCTCGTGTTGCTTCTTAGGCTGCATTCACAGAGCTATGGGGGATTGCTTCGTCGACGATAGTTCCCTCTTTCGGTGGACTCATTGGGTGTTTACTCATCTTAGCTTCAGTTGGATGTACCATATACATTGGCCCCGATAAAGACATAGAATGAATGATGACAGATGATGAAAATTGCAGAGAAACTTCAACAGTTAGTTTTTTGTTCGTCCTGAAACTCCTTCTGCACCCAATTTGTGGCGGTCATTAGTTTCGATTTACAAGTTTTAAGGTTTTATTTCATTCTCATTTTTTCTCTGTCTTGATAGTTAAGAAGTCTGGGAATACAAGTATACTGCCTAGGTCTGTAAGTCCAGGTAAAAAAATACTGAATCGCTAAATGTCGCCCTAAAAATTGCTAAACGTCGCCCTAACTTAAAAGTCAAATTACCTATATACCCTTAATGAAAATTGAAAAATTGCAACAACCAAACAACCCTTTCACCCTCCTTCCCAGCGGGACTCTTCCCTCTTCCCTTCCACCCTCTGCAACTCCTTCCCGCCGCCAGCAACCCCCTCCCCCTCTGCAACTCCTTCTCGTTGGCCTCCTGCTCCCGTCGTTGCCGCCGTCTCGCTCCCGTCGCGCGCTATTCCCGTCGCCGGAGAAGAAGGCCGCGCCGGCCTCCTTCTCCCGTCGTCTCGCTCCCGTCGCCGGCCTCCTGCCCCCATCGTCTCGCTCCCGTCGCCAGCCTCGCCGCCGTCCTTCCCCGCGCCAGCCTTGCCGCCGTCCTTGCCCGCGCCAGCCTCGCCACCCACGCAAGCCTCGCCGGAGAAGAAGGTGAGATCGCAGTCAAACCGCGGGTTGACCATAGGCTAACCGCAGTCAACGCGCGCCGTCGGTCCAACCGCGTGTTGACTATGGTTTGACCTTTTTTTTATTCTGTTTTGTTTTAATATTCTGTGTTTTTATTATTCAATAAATGTTAATAATAATAAAAATGATTAAAAATATACTTAATAAAAATAATTTAGTTATATATTTTGTCAATAATGATATAAAAATTTTAAAAACGTATTCGATAAATGTTAATTAATGATAACAAATTTAGAACATTATTAAAAAATTAAAAATGTATTTTATCATTTTGATAATCAAAATTTCAAAGTAATTCGTTTATCTACTTAATTATTAATAATTTTACCTTGATTAATTATTTACTTTTATGTAAATAATGATTACATAAAACGTAACATAAATGTTCAAACTATTAGTTTTATAATTTTAATTATGAAAATCTTAAATTAATTACTTTATGTACTCCATTATTAATAATCCACTATTAATAATTCAAACTTTTTTTGAAGATGTCTGGACATGGAATGGGTAAACCGAATATGATTAAGGCGAGAAATAAGGAGAGAATGGAAGGTCGTCGGTGTAGACTTACGGCGACTGGTAGGAAGGAAAATGAAGAAAAAAATCCACCTAAGGTTAGAAGGAAGAAGAAGGCGGATGTAGTGCGTCCTGATGGCCACCCTACTGTGGGGCAGTTTTCTCTTAGTCGAGGTACTACGAGTACTCCTACACCAGAGAGCGCACCGGCATGGCAGGCTAATTGGAGTGATTCCATTGACGAGGATGACGATGATGACGGTGATGCTGAGGTTGGGAATGCCCCAGATGCTGGTGATGCTGCTGGTGATGTTGCTGGTGATGCTGAGGTTGGGGATGCCCCACCTCAAGCTGATTTAGGCGTGGGGAAGACGGCGCGGGTCGGGATATCTTCTACTGCCTCCTCACACTTCCGTGGGCCCGATGGACGCTATGCGTCTAGACCTAGTAGCGAGGAAGGCGGAGATGGAAATAGGAAGATGAAGACCACGAGGAAAGATATGTCGTGGTTTCTTACATCCGAGTCTCCGATGTGTTCAGGTGGACCAGTGATTCCCGATGTGATCCCTAGCTTTGGAGATCACATTGGCTTTGTACTGTGGACTTCCCCTAAGCAGGACCGTGGAGTGTTGGACGACTTCCATAGGCCGAAAGCTGTAGAGACTTTGAGGCGATATAAGTGGAGTGCAGAGGGTTCCAAGGAGATGGTTGAAGCCACAGGATTGTCTCACTCGACAGGGTGCATGATGCAGCATTTAGACATGGCCTACTGTCGGCATTTGTGGAGAGGTGGCAGTCGGACACAAACACCTTCCACATGCCGTTTGGAGAGATGTCGATCCTTCTACACGATGTGCATCACATTCTTCGTATTCCGGTTGATGGAGAGCTGATGGGATATGAGGCGTCGCCGGATATTCTTAAGTCAGACATGGGTGGTCTAGTTCGACTTTCGGTGGATGCTCATGGTTGTGGTAAGTGGAAGTCTAAGTGGTACGATAATGGTGCTATGCATGGAGAGGGATTGTTGGTGCGTGGGGGAGAGCTGAAGATTAAGGAGATGGAGGTGCAGTGTTACCTATTTGTGTTACGATAATGGTGCTTCGCACCTCCTCTAGACACTTTGCTCTCACATTCCTATCTATATGCCAAAGACATAATATATGAGTCGATGATGGAAACATTACCCCCACGGTCTCAACCAATCCTCCTGTCTTGTCACTGACAAACACATCTGGAACAATGAGGCCAAGAAGATGTTGCAAATGCGTAAGAAGCCACTGGTACGACTCCTTCGTCTCGTCATACACTATTGCAGATGCAATGACAAAGTTCAATCCCACTGGTGTCATGCCGACAATCTCAACCCAAGGCATATCATACTTATTGGTCTTGTATGTTGCATCTATCACGATCACATGGTGCCAAGCTCGCAACATCACTATTGACTCGGGGTGGGCTAGGAACAAGTGTGTAAGCACGTTACGATCGTCCATATACTGCACATAGTAACCCTTCTCCTGCGCTACGCGGAAAGTATACTACTGTAAGGCTGTCATCTGACCAAGCTCTTCTTTCCTTATCTTGTGACACTCGTTATAAATCTGCTTTCTGTTGTGTGTTCCATTTGCCCCTTTTCTGTCATTAACTGCCTTGTGGATATTCCTTGGTGGGACACCGACTGATCTCAGCTCTCTGATGTATTGCTTATCCTCTGTAGTCAAAACATTCCTTCCCTTTGATCCCTCCGGAAATAGCTCCAACTGATGATTGTGGAAACCCAAATTAGCACCATGATTCTTTGTATTTGCCACCCCTACGATCAACCAATATCCATCACCAGACCGCTCAAGTTTGATCTGAAACTCGCACCCCAACTTTTCAGTAGATGTAAGAGGCCTCCTTTCCTTACTCGGATCAGGTTCCTTCGACTTCTTCTTCCTACCATGAGTGCAATGTAAGTAATGTCGCCAAGTACCTTCATTCTTATTTTTTTTGTTCGATGCCCTCACCAAATAAAACCCAAAACTCTTGGCTATCTTAGTAGCTGCTTCATATGCTTGCAACTCCGCAGTGTATTTCACGCCATCAATGAAATCCGAGGTGTAATCATGGCCATCCGGATTGTAACTTCCAATATCCTGCAATGTTATCAGAATTTATAAGTGATACCCCACAAATTTTAAAAAAACTTAACATTCTATATCGTCAATTTAACGAGTACCATATGATAAATTTAAAATTTCATAACTAATCTTAACGAGTACCATATTAAGTTTAATAATCATCATAACTTCATATGCGATTATTTATTCAATAAATTTAATCTTAATTTGTAATGCAAAATCTAATCTTAATTTTCTAGATTAAGACCAAATTAAATCTAATCTTAATTTAAGGCCAAATCTAATCTTAATTTCTAATGCCAAATCCTTCAATTCCAAAAATAATTATGCAAATAAATCTAGAAAATTATATAAATCAAAACCCAACAAATTATCTCATGGAACAAATCATAAATCATATAAAAAATAGAAAATACTGATTTGAAAAAAAAACCCATAAAATGCTCAACCGCAGCTGAGTTGCGGTTGGACCATGGTGCAACCGCAAGTGACCTGCGGTTGGACCATGGTCGAACTGCAAGTGACCCGAGGTTCCCATTTTCTGTGTTTTTTATTTATTTTTTCAGTTAATGTTTTTACCTCGTCGGAGTCGCTACTCATGATTCAGACGTCCAACCGACGATATCGGCTTCAAAATGACGATGATGAATTTTTCTCTCCTTAGATAGTGTTTTTTTAGTCCAAGTGGTGTTTGTTTGCCAAAGGGAAGATAAAGAAGCTAAGGAGGTTAAAAGTGTAACTTTGATACTTTTTAGGGCGACCTTTAGCAATTTTAAGGGCGACCTTTAGCAACTCCCAAAAAATATATGTGGGGAAAATGAATGAATAGTCGGCCATTCCTTGTTTTCTTTCCGCCCAAGCCAAAGCTCGTATGAGAAGGCTTCCGCTCTGTTTGGATAGAGCCATAGAGGCGTAAATGTAGGGGGGGCGTAATTTCTAAGGGGTAAATGTCCTTCCCGATAAGTTTGCGCATGTTTAGCAAACTTTTATCTAGTAGAGGGCGGACGATTGGAGGCGCAATTCTACTATTCTAGTGTGTCCCCCAAATTGGGGCGGAAGTGGAGAGAGAAAAGACTGAACGATTTCTCCTTTTTTTCCTGAATATTTTAGTATCTTTTCCTTCGTCAAATCTGTCTTCGATGAATTCGTCTACGCTGGTGTGAGAAAGAAGCCCACACCGCCGCCGGTAACACCTAAAAAATAGAATCCATAAGCTAGAATCAAGAAAAGCAGTCAATAGATACCCAAAAATCAAAGAATTAACCCAAACAACATGCATGCCCAAAACTTACCAGATCTAGAATTCAGATCCCCTCTCTCCTCTCGTCGGAGGCTTTCGATCTCTCGGCCTCCTCACCGTCGCTTTCCGATCTCCCCCTGAGAAAGATCGACGGAGCTGTGGGAAGATCGACGGCGGCGGCCGGAGAGCTTGAGGGATTGGATTCGCAAGATAGAGAGAGGGTCGGAGAAATTGGAGAATAAATACTTGAAAAGACCTGCCACAGTCACAGAAGAAACAAGCTTAGCTAGTCCTGCTGAACTTGATGTGGGAAGCTAATTCCCATCACATCCTCTCTAATGATTCTTGGCAGGTCCGGTGGTGGTTCTTCTAGCTCATACGTACCAAAAAGGATAGACGAGACTGTGCTTCGAGAGCCCGTCCGCGACTCTATTCCCTTGACGGTACGTATGAACTAAACGAACAATCCACTCTTGAGCAATAAGTCTGCGAATAGCTCTAACGATTGTAGCATAATGGTGAGCTTGATCATTTCGCTTTTCAATCACATGCAAAGCAAGTCTTGAGTCAGCTTCAAGGACGAGGAATTGAATTCCCTTTTTCCAAGCCAAGAGGAGACCCTGATAAATTCCCCACAACTCTCCCATAAGAGCTATACCTGTTCCAAGCTTGCTGCAAAAACCACTGACCCAATCACCATAGTTGTTTCGAATAGCTCCACCTGCTATAGCAAGCCCCAAATTCCTCTGTGTTTAATTTCCACCAACCGGCAGACAAAGTCGTCCACCCTATAAGAGCTTCACTTCTTGTAGTAGTCGCGCTGAGATTGTCTTTCACTTTGTTGTCTCCCAAGCTTTATCCCAATCTCGAGCCTTACAAATGACATAGTTGTGAAGAGTAGAAGGAGATAGCTTTTTCCTTTAAAAATGGTGTCATTTCTGTATTTCCAGATGTACCATGAGATTAGGCTGAAAAAACTTGCCCAATTACCTGGCCAGTTGCCGTGAGATTCATCAGACAGGTTGTCCTGAAGTCAAGTATTGTAATCATTATGAAAGAACTGAAGTTGACGTTGAAGATGTATGATCCTGCTCTAAACAACCTTTGCTTGATACAGTCACGGAAGACATGTTGGTTTGTTTTCGGGACGTTGTTGCAATAAGGGAACTTGTCATCTTCAGTTAAATGTATGTACTTTCTAACGTTGTTGGTCGTTAGCTTGCTTTAAAACACTTTAAATAACTTGAATTATTAGGATCAACTGGTTTTTGACACTATATAAAAGCCTTCGATGGTCAAAGGGCCTTGTGTTCATATTTCGACAACCCACATTCATTGAACACATGGTATTCATACATGTGCAAACTCCAAACTAGAGAGTCATAAGCCTTGTGATGCCATTGCTAGAGTCTTGCTCGATGCTTCTATCCTCCTTTCGACGAAAAACAATTATAAGTCGCTATTTCATTCATTATTCTAGTGTGATAGTTGTGTGGGCAAAACAAGATGAGAAAATAAGGGTGAGCGAAAAAGGATAAGAAAATAATGCAAAAGGAACATCATATATTTATATTATTATCATTTTCACTTGATAGTAGAGGAGGCAAATGAATTGACTTCATGGATTGGTGGACTGGATTAGTGTATCCATGGACCAAATGGATGGTGGATTCATGGATTGGTGTATTGGATCACTAACCCATCTAACATCTAACATTTAATTAATATGTAAATTGTAAAAAGTTCGATTCACAAAGGTAGCGTTTTTGCTATTTTTTGTTCTGTCGAACTGAGTGGGTGCGAATAGTTCATGACTATTGCTATTTTTTGTTCTTGTCGAACTGAGTGGGCGCGAATAGTTCATGACTATTGCTATTTTTTGTTCTTGTCGAACTGAGTGGGCGCGAATAGTTCATGACTATTGCTATTTTTTGTTCTGTCGAACTGAGTGGGCGCGAATAGTTCATGACTTTTGCTATTTTTTGTTCTTGTCGAACTGAGTGGGCGCGAATAGTTGATGACTATTGCTATTTTTTGTTCTTGTCGAACTGAGTGGGCGCGAGTAGTTAAAAATCAGACACTGCGCCATTGTAACACAAGGCTTGCTTGTAGCCTGCTGGTAATCTTGCTTGTTTGGCGGAAGAGTGGTGCGGGTTCAAGGACTGGCAGTGACGACATTTTTTGAGGAGTTCCGTGTCTGTTGACCGCGGGCCGTGAGTAGTTGAAAGTCAGAAGCTTTGCCATTTAAACATAAGGCGGGTATGCAGCCTACTGGTGATGTTGCTTGTTTGGCGGAGGAAGGACGCGAGTTCAATTCCTAGCGGCGGCAATAATATTATTTGAAGAGTTTCGTGCTCATTGGGCTTGGCGGGACTGCATCGCATATACGGAGCGGGCTGGCGGAGTGGAGTGATGTTGGGCCGCGAGTTGATGGTGGCGCGGATCGGGCGTCGGTCTGGCGGAGTGATGTTAAGCTGGCCGCGACTTGGACAGGAGGTGAGGTGGACTGGGGCCACGTTGTCTTGCGGGGCGGGAGACTGATCGAATCAGGCAGGCGAGAGTGCGGGCCGCGACTTGGGCTTGGCGATCCGCGAGTTAAGCGGATCGGCATCAAGGACTTGGGCCGCGAGTTGAGGGTGTGAGCGGGCCACTGTAAAGCTTGGAGCGTGTCATCGAGCCTACGTTGCGCGGTACTAGATTGGAGCCGATCCGCGAGTTGGGCCCTATGCC